CCTTCCGATCAGACTCCCCGTCTTCGAATCCTGTATAACACAACCAGACGGGGCAAATGACACAGTACAACCTTGTTCAGTAAGCTGACCAACTGAAACAAGATTAGGAACAAGTGCAGGCACATGAAGAGTATTCCGTAAACACACATTTTCATCCACAACATTGCCCATACCCGTGACCTTCAATTTCGATCCATTCGCCACAGTCAAATCAATATTTTGAACAGGAGTAACATCGTTCAAAGCTGTAGTATCACATGTCATATGATTATAGCAAGCGGAGTCAAGAAGCCAAGGTGATCGATTTTTACCTGTGCCTTGCAAGGTTGCAAAGGCAGCACTGATGGCAGCACTCACTATCTGCTCGACTGTCTGCACCGAGACACCGCTGCCGTTACCATTTCCACCATCTCCAGCAGCTGCTCGACTGCTGCTCGCCTCCCCCGATGTGGAGCCACGCCCACCAGCAGAAGACCAGGGACGATTATCCCCAGCTGGAGAGCGCCAACGAGCAGTATCGGCAGCAGAGAACATCCCATAGGCGGCCTTTTCTCCAAACCCAGGCCGAGGAGCTGAATTCCGTCCTGGACCCCCTTCTCGTGCCCCTTCTTCACGAGACTCGTTTCTTTCCTTAGTGCGGCAGTCAAGGATGATGTGGCCCATCCGCTTGCATTATACGCAAAAATTGCGTCGGCGACAATGCTTTTGTAAATGCCCCTTCTCCCTGCAGTGATGGCATATCATATCTGAAATTGGGATTCGTCGCTGGAATTGCGGACGATCTATGGCATAGGCAGAGGGATCACGAGCTGTTCCGAGGCTGTGTTGGCCAGCGGCAACCGCGACCAGTGCCTCCCCTTCTCCCGGTCGCATATCCATGGCAGCTTGTGTCCGCAGGCGGGTTTCCTCCCTAACTAGAGTGCCGAGCACTCCATCAAATTGGAGAATATCACGATTCAAGAGAGTGGCATGAACGGACTCGAATTCCGGCCGTAGCTTCATGAGAAAATCCAAAAGCCTGGTCTGCATTCGTTCAGCAATGGCGTCTTCAGTGAGCACATTGTGGGGTCGTAGAGCAGCATGGAGGAGGTCTTGCTCCGTCCAGAGTTCCTGTGCGGCATTGAAGTATTCAGAAACGGATCTATCTCCCTGTTCCAGCCGCGATAAGGCAAGCTGGACCTCAAACCGACGTGCGGCATTGACGGTGGAGTACATGACGGAGAGATGCCGCCACATACGATTCGCTGTCGGATATAAACGAAGACTGAGAACAGTAGAAGGGTCTACCGAGCCAAGCAGCCATGATCGGACGCGAGCATCGTTCTGGTTCCAGGAGCGAACCTCTTGAGAAGTGGCTGCTCCTTCTGGTTTTGGTTGCGTGCCATCAAGAATGCCCAGCAGATCTTTCCCTTCGATGAACACACGGAATTGAAACTCCCAGAGTGCGAAGTTGGTTGAATTCAGACGAACGGTAGGACGATCAGAATCGAGTATCGGAAGCTCTGATACCATGTTGAATTATCTAACTGTACGGAAATCGTAAACGGACAATGAACACGGATTTACGTGGTATCCCTGGATATCCAGGACTAATCCACGGAAGAGCGCTAGAACACTCTTCGGCTGCAGTTCTTACTGATGATGTTTGTTAATCTGTACAGGAGATACAAAAGCACTATTAAAAGACCCTAATGGCCGAACCCTAGTACCACAGGAACAAAGACTCAACGTGGACTAGTGATGGTTGCATGGGCCTAGACTATCAGCTAATCCTATTGGGCCATAACACTCACGTACTAATGACAACAAAGGCAGAACGTATATTTAACAGGTGTATTTGTGAAAATGTCTGATTCGATTTTTTTTTCTTTTTAATAATTGGTTCATCCCATAATCGTCATTCTAAAACGCACCAATTAACAATACTTTTTGTTTCCCCATTATCTGTCAGTCCAAAAGTAATTAAAACGATAAAATTCAAACCTGACTCTCGTCTCTCCAATTTGTGTTGTCAAGCGAGAGGTTAAACGATTTAACTGTATGGTATGTATCTACGGGGTCGTTTGGAAATTGCGATAGTTTTGTTGAGATTGTCATTATGCATGTATTGTTTACAATACATTGTTTTTTTGTGTTTTTAGCATAAACAATACATTGATTGTTTCTGTGATATGACAGAAACTATCACTCATTTTGAGTGATTGTTATATCTCAACTTTTAGTTGTGATTGTTGAGATAGTTGCGTTGAGATTGTTTTGTCTCAGCTTTTAGCTGATGCGACATAAACAATCACACATACCAAACGTTGTATTCTACAATGCATCAAATTCGACAATACATGTATAATATTATACATGCATTCTCAACAATACATCTATTTAACAATCGCAACTTCCAAACGACCCCTACAAACCTCAAAGATGAGGCTAGACATGAACACCAAATTTGATAGGAACATGTAAAGAGAAGGTGGGGAGGGGACAGAACTCAGAACGTACACTGAGAAGAGATGAGGGGAAGAAAGAAAAGTTGGGAGTTTTTAAGGAAAGAAAGAAAGAGTCCATTTTCCCATAAGGACTCGTGTCACTACCCCCGCAGTTGGAGGTCGAGGGAAAGGAAGAAGAAGAAGAGCCCAGAGGCCACCAAACCAAAGTGCTCCATTTTCCGCTCTCTTTACCCACCAACTCCAGCTGAGACAGAAGGGAAGGGTGTAGGGGACCGGATTGGCTTTGCTTTTCATCTGGCCACGTGTGCTTCTTCCATTAGATCGATGTTATTGACAGACTTTCAACGCCACCACCATCCATCACCCTGAGGTTTGCATATGCATCGGCATCTGGATTAGGGATGGTAACAAAACTCGAACCCATGGGTACTCATCCAATTCAATCCGGTCAACGCGGGTAAAGTTAGTATTGATGGGTTTTGGGTCGGATTTGGGTTTAAACCCGTTACACTATTTACCGGGCCGGGTTAAGTTTGGGTTTAGGTAAACTCGCTCCATGGGTACCCGCCTACACACATATAATTACTTTCCCGGTATATTTAATATTCTAAGTAATATATCTTCTTTAAACAACTAATATTCTTTATGTTTGTGGAGACATGTATAATTTGTTCTTTCTAATTGTTTAGAATGAAGTTGATATTATGAAGTGGAGAGTGAAGAAACTTAGTTGACGAGGAAGAAGCTTTCAATTAATCTTAAGGTTTATAGATGTTTATCTTTAATTTTGAACAATTTGTATTGATCATTTGCGGTTTGCTTGTATGCTCTAGATTGGTGTTTTTTGTATGAATAATTTGTATGAGAAAATTGATGTTCCACTTTTATTTTGAAAGAAACTTGTTATTGTAAATTTTTACCCCAAAAACCCACGGGTACCCATAAACCCGCGGATACCTAGCGGGTTGAGTTGGGTTTGAGTTTTTCAAACCCAGCGGGTTTTACCCCGGGTTTTTTTGGCAGATAAACCCATGGGTTTGGGTTTGACAAAACCCGCCCCAACCCGACCCATTGTCATCCCTAATCTGGATGCCACCAGCGACGGAGCCACCTTATTGGTAGGAGCGGTTATAGCCACCTCTCAACTTTCAAATTTGTGTTAGCACATGATTTAAAGAACAAGCCTTACCAACTAGCAGTTGCGGATCCAGGGGGCCATGATTCGGGGCTAATTGCACACATTTTATCCTCGTTTCCCTTGAGCGTCTGTAGCATTTGGACTCCTAAAAGGGTGGTTTTACGCTAGGTTTTGTGCGTTTTAGTGTGTTTCAGGATCTAACAGGTGAAACCAGCCCTGGAGTCGAAAGTTGGACGAAAAGAGACAAAGACCGGGCAAAGAGGGTGATCCAGGCGGAGTTCACGGGTTTGCATGGGAGATCACGATCCACTATGACCATGAACTGAAGCCCAAAACCGTGAACCGTGATGCGTCCAGGGAGAAATCTGCAGTTACTACCGCAGGACGAGTTCATGGTCAACAAGACCGTGAAGATTGAGGCCAAACCGTGAACTCCTGATGGCGTAGCGGTGCGTTTCGACATCGCGCTCTGTGTTGCACCCTACTAAGGTTTATACTTGGACCTTAGACGAGAATTAATTGTGATGCCCAGGACGAGTCAGGCAGCGACCCAGTCCTCCTCCGAATCCAGAGATAGTATCGCACTTGTAAATTTTTAGATTTTATGTATTTTTTCAGTCTCGTCGGATTACAACCCGACTCTCTCCGCCTCTTTTCAAATATGGCCCAGTGCTAGCTCTACCCTATCCTAGATCTGCCACTGGTCACTACAAGAAAATTGGTTTATAGCGACAAAATTTTAAAGGCAAATGTAATATTAGCCCCTAAATGTATATTTTCCCGACAAATGTAAAATCTGCCTTTATAGACAATGTTATCTGTCACTAAAATTATTTCATCCGCAACAAATATAAATTTGCCTCTATAAATATTATTATTTGTCTCTACAAATATTTCATTCCCAACAAATATAAATTTGCCTCTACAAGTATCACCATATGCCTCCAATAAGATAATTATTTTAGATATGTACATTTAATTTAAAGAAATTTAGGTTCTAGAGGCAGATTTATACTGATTGCCTTGTAAAGTTTTTGTGGGACTTCTAGAGGAAAATCATATTTATTCTTCTTCCTTATCATCACGCAGACCCAAATAATTATTTGGAAAATCCAAAGTTTTGGAGGCAAAATTAAAAGCCTCTATTATCTTAATTAATTAATTCTAGACTAATATAATTGGATTTATGCAATATTTTCTTATTAATATTTGATGAAAATAAATTTATCATTTACCACAAATCCTATAATTGGCACCGCTAACGCTTTTTACACAACTCCTTTGAAGGATCGAGAGGTAGCACGCATCTAGGGTTTCCATCCTTCTTCAATCTAGAATCTCCATTGCCATGGAGTCGTCTGCTGAATCTTGCTCAACGTTTTCCCCCACCATCGGATCCGCTACTGTTGTTATCTCGGCAGTCTTCAAGAAACTAGGGTGTTCTATACCAATCGCAGCAGCAGATCCATGGGCAGGCGAGCAAGAGTAGTCGCAGTGAGATGGGGATTGCGAAGGCAAGAACGGGATCTACAACCAACCAAATTAAGGAGGATGGATCAAAATCAGTAGGTTGTCGCCCCATTAATTCCAATTCTATTCAGCATTTATATTTGATCTTCCTCGGTTCAATATCAAGAATCATGTCGCTTTAAAGTTTAAACCATTGGTATTTTGACATTGTTGTTTGCGTTTGGGTCATAATTGGATTTTCATTTGTAGTGTTGTGTTTTCATTTGAGCAACAATGTGGACCTATATCGTGTTTGATGACACATAAGATTGTGATCTTTATCTTTGGGTTGTCTGTGGAGATGATCTATTGTTTGACTTCTTTTAGGAAATCTATTGAACTCTTTTTTTACTCTATCTCAGAAATGGGAAGGATTTCAGAGAACGGCAAGTATGAAGGAGCATGCTATGTTGCAATTGATGGTAAGTCTATGAACTAATCTATCGTAGCTTTATATTTGATTAAATTTAATGAAATGGAGATGTAATGGTACTCTTTTTCATATTGAGAAATATTATGAACAGTTTTGTGTTTGTTGTTATTAGTCTGTAGATGGCTAAATAGATATTGAAACTGAGTGAGTAAATATTGTTAGAGTAAAAACATTCTTATCTTGACGAGCATAATTTCATCAAGAGATCTCTCAAAGTTATCTAGTTTTGAGTTTTGACGACCAATTAGTATGATCTATTCTCTTATGTCGTTGTACGAATTTGTCTTGCTTTCTAACTAATGGTCATTGTTCTAATTAATTATCTTTTAAGGATCTAACAAGCTAAGTGCTTGCTTACAGGACCGTTAGAGGGACTATGTTAATTGTACATAATGGCAATTCGACGCAAGCAAGAGAATGACAGGGAAGCAAGCCTATCAAGTGTAAAGTGGATGAATTATCAAATTTCTGGTTGCAATAATAGGCACAAACAGCTTTTGGATTCTCTTCGAACTCATTCTTCTAAAGTTGAGGAAAAACATTGGGGTGCAGCACTCTGTCACTTTTCTATTTGTTTGTCCTTATTTTGGGATTACGATTTCATCTTCTGTACAGTGTCATGCAACTTTCTATGTAGAAAATGGAAATAAAGAAGAAATGGAAAATGAATTAGGTTTGTTTGTCCATCTGTGTGGCTCGATTCTCATGTGTGCCATAATTATTAGCTTTTTAATATTTGATTACTAAATTAAAACAATCTCATCCGTCTAAGAAATGGATCCTGTTGACGGTCAAAGAAATAGAGGCAACTATAACTGCCTCTAAATAACATATGGAAGCAGATACATGAACAATTAGCGGCTAATGATCCATCTTTAATGACCATAATTGGCGACTAAAATATTTGTTGTGAAAGGAACGAATCAGAACACTTTCATGTTTACATAATTCAACTATTAGGGGCAGATTAAAGAGCCTTCAGATGTATAATCACCGACTAATAATATGTGCCGCTATCGATTGTCGCTAAATGGAATTAGCGGCAGCAGTATTGACAGCACATAAATATGTGCTTCTAAAAAGGTTTAGAGGCAATTAAACACGCTATAGTGGCATATATCCATTGCCCCCAAAACTCATTTTTCTTGTAGTGGGTAATTAACTAGGCTCATTGATGAGCTCACGAGCTCTGCTCAATATTGACTCATCAATTAGCTCACCACCTCGGTTCAACCTCATTTGATTTATCATTCTAAATAGCCAAACCCCTTACCTAAACTCCAAATGATTTATAAATTAAATACAATAATATTTATATGTCATATATAAGACATGATTAATTTCATGATGGAAAAGGAAGAATAGATCATTTTTATGAATAATTGATCTCATGTTTATATACTATATTAGTACCATATGATTTACTTCATAAATTTTAACGGGTTCATATTAGGTGACTTGATAGTAATTGGTATTTAAGAAATTTATGATACATAAATTGTCTTTTGAGTTATAAATGAAACATATTCTCTCACGTACTCTAAGTCCTAAATATCATATATATGGTGACATATATAATCAAGCAAACCTATAAATTATTAACAAAACAACTTATAAGTCATAAACCAATAAACACATAAGTCATTATTCGAATTGGCTCGCTAGCCACACTATCGAGCCAGTTCATGAGCTAAAATTATCTATCTCAGTAATTGAGCTCAACAAGGCACTAGGTCAAAATGGCTTGCGAGTTGAACAAAGTTCACCCCCATTTGGACTCATTAGTAAAAGAACCATATGTCATAACAAGGTTCTTTCAACCCAAAATCAAGTTGCTTGTGAGTAGTTTGGCTCATTTACCGCCCTACTTGCAGTGTCCATTAATTGGCACTACTTTGGATGGAGCCTCTCTGGCCTCAACTATGCAGCATATAGACTCAATTGGCCTGACACATGGTTTGACCGTCAATTTGGATGGTCAACGCCGTTGACCGTTAGTCAACACGCCATATCATTGCCTTGTCAGCCTAAAAATTATTAAAAAAAATCAAATTCAAATTATTTTCCTAATTTCTATTATTTATCAATTTCAAATTAACCAAAAAATAAAATTTAAAAAATATCAAATAAAATTTATATTTTATTTTTTGGGATATTTGAAAATGATAAATTTTGTAAATTAACCAAAAATGATCAAATTAAATTTTATACATTTAAAGAATATGATATAAATTATATATTTCATTTTTGGGTAATGTTAAATATATAAAATAATTTGATAATTTTGGTTAATTAATAAAATTAATAATTTCCAAATCACAAAAAATAAAAAAATTATTTTATTATTTTATTAATTATTTTATTAATTTGATTATAAATAATAAAAATTTAAAAAAATAGTTTAATTTGAATTTTTTAATGATTTTTAGGCTGACGAGGCAATGACATGGCTTGTTGACTAACGGTCAATGGAGTTGACCATTCAAATTGACGGTCAAACTAGTTGTCGGGCCAATTGAGTCTATATGTTACATAGTTGAGGTCAGAATGTTAATTTCTGAAACCATGGGTCAAAGTTGATTATATGGTCATAGTTCAGGCCAAAATAAGGTATTAATCCTTTAATGAATGAGGATAGTTTTTGGCAAGTGTTATTCCATCCTAATTGATCCTATGATGAAAATAGTGCTTCCATTTTCTACCCAAAAAAGTGCTTTTTTTTTTTTTTTGTGTGTGTAGAAATTAAAGCGCTATAGTACTATAAGGCAAATCCTATAGGACCCAATGATGCTATGACATTGTTAATTAAGCTAAATATTGATAACTAATAAGTTGTCCTAGAAGAGGGGGTTACTTCCAAATCAAGGCTTGTAAAGATAAGGCTACCCACTTCTTCTAATTTCTTTAAGTTTACTAGGGTTAACCCATGACTAGGATCAAAGTTAATGATCATCAAAGATGGTAAGTAAAGGGGATAAGGATGAGAACAACTTTGGAGAGAAGGAAATGTATAGAAAGAGAGAAAGGAAATGCATGCGTTGAGAAGAGATTCGCGGCTAAGCTGGCAAGTTAGTTAATTAGGGTAATCAATTCTGTACTAACCCCTTCTTTCCCATTGATTAATTACCAATCAACAAATTCAAGGGGAAAAAGTCATTGGAAAAGAGGCAGAGCGCATGGCTTTGGAGGAGATTCCTTTTCACTTTTGCGTCAAAAAGCAACCAACTAATTTTTTTTTTTGACAATAGGTTGCATTTCATTCATTATCGATGATGGTACAAGCTGAGCCTATTACAGTAGAGGTGAGATTAAATCAAGAATATGGATCCATTGAGTAGGAAGAGTTCCTCTCGCTGATTCTCTGGCCACCCAATCAGCGCTTTTGTTGTTGCTTCGTGGAGTAAAGCAGACCTTGATTCCATCATTTGAGGAAAGGATATGTCGCATACAATGAAGCCAAGCTCTGACATGCCATGGCCAAGTAGCTCCTTGCCTAAGGAGAGCATTTGTGAGAACTTGGCAGTCAGAGTAAACAATTGCAGACATTCCTGAAGAGTCAGCAAATTGGAGCGCAGTCAATAGGGCTTTAGCTTCCGCCACCATCGATGTTGAACAAAAAAAGGTACCAGCCTTTCCATCAATCACTTGTCCATGGCCGTCACGAACGACAACGCCATAAGCCGCCAACTGTGATTCCGAGGCAAAAGCTCCATCACAGTTAATCTTTAATTGGAAGAAACCAGGCGGTGGATCAAGGTTAGAACGGGGTGAAGGGGGCTGGGTAGAGACGATCCTTGGGGACGGGGGAATACCGTTCCAATCGGTGAAGTGGTTGACAGCCTTCGCTGTAGTAGACTGGAGAGTGGGTCTGACCCCTTTGAAAACAAACTCGTTCCTAGCGTTCCAGATTGCCCAGAGGTTCGCAGCAATAGCCATGACAGAGTAAGAAGGGGATGCTTCATGCAGGTGGAACAACCACATCAGCATCGGCATTGAAGTGGGAGGGAGCTGCAGCGATGGGAAGCTGGAATGCCAGATGGAACTGGCGTGCTGGCATCCAAAGAAGCAGTGCCAGATGTCTTCAGAGTCAGCCTGACAAACAGTGCAGCATGGGGATTGTATGATCTTTCGGGAGCAGAGGTTTCCCTTTGTCGCCAAGGCATTCCTTGTGATTCTCCAGATGAACCAACTAATTAAAAATTAAGTCTGTCGTCCTTTCATCCCCTCCCCTTATGGCGACTACTGGCGCCAGTTACGCCGCATCGCCACCCTCCATCTCCTCACCGCCAAGCGCGTCCAGGCCCTCCGCCGCGTCAGGGAGCCCGAAGTGCTAGGCTGCTAGCCCTCATGCGCACCATCGCCGCCACGACGGCGAGCCAGCAGCAAGACCCTAATCCACGTAGCGAGAACTTGAAATTAGGAGATGGGAAGGCCGGCGGCGAGGACGATTGACCGTTTTTGTCTTTCATCGCCGTTAATCCAAATTCTCCGCCAGAGGCGACGGCGGCGACGAGTGGATCAGGGAAGTTCATACGTTTTATGTTATTTTTATTAGTTTACCATCATTAATTTTGTTCTGTGGGTTACAGGTCCGGTCAAATTATTTAATTCTTTTTTATTAATTGCTTATGTTTATTAGTAGTTAGTACTACGCCTTTCCTCTACTTTTACGTTTTGTTTTTCATGATGATGATTATTATTTTACACTATCTCTTGCGGTTACAACTTACAGGTAAGTATTCCAATCGTTTCCTTTCGGTTACTACTACTAATAATTTTTAATTATTCTCTTTGTGTTTATTTAGCTCCAGTTCTTTTCGTTTTATTATTTTTATCTATTCACTTTTTCGTTCTTTATCATTTATCATTAATATTATTTATTATTACCATTATTCAGATAAGTTCTCCATCCTTTATTAATTATTACTATTATTTATTTATTTTCCTTTATAATTATCCATCATTATTTTTTTCTTTCCAAAGCTTTTCATTCCTATTCTCTATAACTATGACATATTTTTCAAAAATTGTCTTCTACAAAAGAAAAAGTTAGTCTCATCTTTATGAGTAGGACGCAAAGTTTGTTTCGTGCTTACTAGTCGATAATGGCCTACGCCATTGTGTTCTGCCGGTGATGGCCCTCTCCGTTGTGGAGCATATCAATATGGTGGAGTTTATGGTGAGGATGATCAAACGGCAGCCCCAAGATCCTTTTGGATTGCCTATTAGTTTTCTTGTTTTGCAGGTCATTACTGGCTGCTGATGGTGCTTTATGGCTTTCTCAAAGGAAAGGTTGTGGTTTCGGTAGTTTCTCATAGGGCTACTCATCTTGTGGCAAACCAGGCCCTTTCATCGGCAGACTCTTTGGCCATAATCAATGTATGGTTTGATGGTGCGGTCAAGCGTGGTCAATGAGGTAGTATCGACTTTGTAGGCTCTCTTGAGATAGGTAATGTTCTGTTTTCTTTTGGAAAATATTATGATGGGATCCAGGACCCATTTATAAT